GAATATTACACGGCAGAATGCCTACCAAGGACTCTAGTTGACCAGCCTCTCCCCCTTTCAGGATCTTCAATTCCATTCCTATTCTCCCAGGTTGCATCCTAAGAATTTTTAAAAATTCTGTGCCCCTGGAGTGTGTTCAGTTCCCACTGGGCTCTCTTGCTTCCAACTCCCCCCCCCCTTTTTGTACTTCTGCAAATTTTAATTTTCTCTCCTGTCTCCCCACATCTCACTCTATGCATGGATATTTTAAGTTGCAGAAAAATCTACCTTGGAGAATGAATTTGCTATTAATATGTATGCACATAGCTGGAATGGCATTAAAAGGAAGGTACTTCAAAATGCCAGAGGCAGGAGAGGGATATCAGGAGACAGGTCTCTGCTAGTCCCGTGGGCTCCCAGAGGCATCTGGTGGGGCCCCCCGTGAGATACAGGAAGCTGGACTAGATGGGCCCTTGGCCTGATCCAGAAGGGCTCTTCTTATGTTCTTATGAATTGAGACATTTGCACTTGGCATCAGATTGCTGTGGCATAATTTCCCCCCCCCCCGCCGCCGCCTTTTGAATTTGTCTTGCCAAAACCTGTTGCCTTGCTTCTCCTCCCTATTTTTAATCAAAGCTGACTCCTCTGTCTTGAAGAACAGGAAACACAATTGGTGTTTTGATGATACCAGAGTGTATACCAGTGGTTCCCAGCCTTGGGTCCTGGACTACAACTCCCACGAATCCTGCCCAGCACAAGCTAGTGGTGAAGGCTTCTGGGAGTTTTAGTCCTAGAACACTTGAGGACCCAAGGTAGGAAAACATTGGTGTATACAGATTTGTGTTATGCCTGACAAGGAAAATACATTTGACTGAGAAATTCCAGGCATGCCAGAACACTGAAAAGCTGATGCTGGAGATGATGCCTGTTGGAAGGCATCCAAACCCACTCCTTCCCCACATTTTCCAGCTTTCACCAGTGGATGGCTGCTGAGCTCTGTCATGTTGATGCCAGGCATCCTATATAAACAAAGCATTCCACAACATAACAAACCAACCAACACAGGTAATCCTACTCTAGCAAAGGTGGTGAACTTTTTGGCATTCCAGAGTTTTAGGACTACAATTCCCAGAATCAACTCCCAGCCTGTATAGCCAATGACAAAGGAGTATGGGAACTGTAGTCCCATTTACAGTGTCAAAGGTTTTTCTACCTCTGCTTTATACAGTCTTCTACTACCAAGAGCATTTGGTGCACATGACAAAGTAGATTGCATTCCATAATAATTTTTGCAGTCGTGGCTGGGATCCTACTGGCGTTCATGTAAGGTGTGTGTGTGATTTGCCACAGATAGTTGTGGCTGTTTGATAAGGGTACTTCTGAATTGTACAATCAGGTGTGTGACCAAGAAACACATATCAAATCGCCATGTCAAGTTCCATAAAATGTATGCAAACACCAATAGGACTTTCCCAATGTAGGTACAATGCTTTAAGAAGCTGAAAAACTCATCTGTTGTTATCACAAAGATAACGAATAAATAGTTAGATCATAATCTCACCCTCCAAATTGCTAAGAATGACATCTTTATCAAATCGCCATGTCAAGTTCCATAAAACTTATGCAAACACCAGTAGGACTTTCCCAATGTAGGTTTAAGAAGCTGCAAAACTCATCTGTTGTTATCATAAAGGTAATGAATAAATAGTTTGATCATAATCTCACCTTCCAAATTGCTAAGAATGACACTGACACATCCATTACATTTTGTTCTGTTTCAGCTAGCCTTTATGTTATAGGCTAGCTGAAGCAGTACTTACAACTATGCATTCTTTCTTATACAGATCTCTTGGCAATGAATCAGTCCTGTTTTTTTATCATGGTGTCCATGGCAATGCTCTCGACCAGTGCTTCCAAACCTTGGGTCCCCTCTTGGCAATGAATCAGTCCTGTTTTTTTTATCATGGTGTCCAGGGCAATGCTCTTGCCCAGTGCTTCCGAACCTTGGGTCACCAGATGTTCTTGGACTACAACTCCCAGAAATCCTGACCAGCACAACTAGTGGTGAAGGCTTCTGGGAGTTTTAGTCCAAGAACATCTGGGGAACCTAAGTTTGGGAACGACTGTTTGAACCATTCTCTCTACAGCTACTCTGGGGGAAGGATTAAAGGCTTGGTCTTTTCATTGCTTTCTAACCTTATCCAACACTTGTATCCGAATATTAGCTTAGACTAAAAACAAAACAGTTATTTATTTATTTAAGTACTGACTTCTTTTGTGAATTGCGATGCAGTTTTATTTACTTCGAAGGCATGATGTGAGTTTAGCTATCTGGATGCATGCCAAGCAACATGTGTTCAGGCCAGAATGCACTGTACAATCACAACTCTGTAAAGTGGTTACAGTGGGAAAGCTGTCTAAGGATATTGAGAAATGCCTCCAGAATGGAGCCCCAAATTTCTCCAGTAACATGTGGAGAAAGGCTTGGAATAAGATGTGGTCTCTCTTTAAAAATCTAGTATAGCAATGAAAGCTGTGACCCAAGGCATCTAAAGAGGGTACCAGGCTGGGAGTTATTTGAGTGACATGTGGTCTGGTAGAGGAAGCGTTGTCAAACTCACAACTTCCTCTCCTTGCAGTCTAAGTTGGTACATTCTCAGGTAAGCTTTGTGACTTTTAATTTTCAAGTCTTCTGCAACCCTGCCAACACAAACTCTTTGCCCCAGTGGTTCTGCTGTGGTTTAAATAAAACTGGAAAACAAGAAGTGGTTTGCATAGTTTTTCTTCCTTATTTTCGTTTTGCTTAAGGGACATCTGTGCAATCAAGGTCATCTCTCACATGTGCATCCGTAAGAGAATTCACCACTGAAAACCCTATTTAGGTCATGCTGTTGTGACTGGATGAAAAAGGCCAGATTTAGGAGCGATTGATACTTCTTGTTCTTTACACACAAGGGTGGGTGGGGGAATCTCTGGCCTTCTAACTGTTGTTGGACTCCAACTCCCATTAGCCCCAGCCAGCATGGCCAATGACCAAGGATGGTAGGAGTTGAAGTCCACAACGTCTAGAAGGCTGGATATTTCCAATTCCTGCTCAGTAATTCTCCAATTGTGGAAGTTCACCAGGTGAAGCTGTTCAGCCGCCACTGAATGTTGCTCTTCGCCATGATTGAAGAGAAGTTGAATTTTTTTATTTATTTATAATATTTTTACCCCACTTTTCTCCTTAAAAGGGCTCAAGGCATTTACAACATGAAAAGGACAATATTTAAAAGCTAAAAACAAGAAAATATACAAATAGTTTAAAGCATTTAAAAAGAATTAATCATACTAAAATGGTAAATAAAACATTGATACTGAAAACACAGTTAAAAGCAACAGAGCACAACAATCCAATTTGAAAGACACCCCCTCCCCCAGATTGCCAATCATTCAGGAAAAGCCTGCCTGAAGAGAAAGGCCTTTGCCTGCTTGCAGAAGGACAGCAAAGATGGGGCTAGCCTGGCGTCTTGTGGGAGGGAGTTCCAGAGTCTGGGAGCAGCCACAGAAAAGGCTGCCTCCCGTGTCCCAACCAAGCACTAGCCTAAGGTCAGTTGAAGCCTCTGACTCCTCTGGATCAAGCCTGCAGTATCTCATCACCAAACCAGACTCAATTGTCTGCATCACAGTTGAAAATAACACCAAACCAAGCCCTCCCTCTTCACCTGAATAAGAGTTCCTTCCCCAAAAATGAATCATTGTGGCTGCAGTGGAAATTTTGAGGGCTGGCCAGTGGTGAGAGAAGGATCCATCTTCTCCCCAAGCAGAAATCATCCCTAAAAGTCAACCCAGAAATCAAGTTTCTAAAGATGGTGTAAAGGTGACTTTTCTCCACAACCTTACCTGGTGGGAAGGGATTCCTACCACAAAGGAAGAAAAATACAAGAGTGTCCCATCATTAGCTCTGGCCTCACTCGTTTCTAACTTTTGTCTCACCTACTGCCATTTCTGGCCCCTCATAAGTGCCCTCCCCCCCAAGAGAGATTTCACCCATAACTTTTGTCTCACCTACTGCCATTTCTGACCCCTCATAGTTGCTCCCCCCCAAAAGATTTCACCCATGGGAAAAATGCTCTTTTTAAAATCCATGGCTCTATAATAAAGAAACTTGGGGGGGGGCAATTACCATATCATCATTACAACTCTAAAGTACTCCTGGAAGTTAAATTTACAGAAATTACTTTCCTAATTATCCAGATTAGATTAGTTTTAGGCAACCCCTCAAGCTTTATAGAATTTCACTTCTGGAGCTCCTGGCTAAAGTTAGAAAAGCACGTCTTTCAAAGCTTAGTCTGTTGTAGGAACGCCAGGATGGTAGAGCAGCCAGAGATGACCGCTGGAGAAAGCTAGACTCCTATTTCTGCTCAGCCACATAGCTTGCTGGAGCCTTTGGGAAAAAACACATCTGTTTTAACGGCTAGGCCGCCTCTCAGGGTGATTGTAAAGATGAAACAGGAAGGTAGGGGTTAAGAGAGAAAAAAGGAGATCAAGTTTCTAAAGAAAGAGCAGAATAAAAATTAAGCAGCCACCAACGATCCCCTCCATGCATCCCATTGCAACTAGACTCATCTCTAGCCACGCCACTCAGGCATCCTCTTCTTAAATTCCCATCAGTATTATGTTAAAGTTCTTGATTTACATCATTGCTATTTACTCTGTCCTACGAAAGGAGGGGAACTGTATAAAATTGAATTAAAGGACAAATATTAAACAGGGAGAAGACCAAAGCAACATCACGGTCTATCTCTAATCTGCCAAAGTTATTCCCTGTAATTCATCGGAAGGTCCAAACTGAAAGTGGTCCAGTTTTTCCTATCGTTCCATTCTCCATCCTAGAACTCGAGACCATCTGGCTGCAGGTTTGCAGGAGTTGTAGTTCAAAGGAAGAAAGAAAATTGCCCAGCTCCCTCTCGATGTAGTTTTTAGAGTTATTGGTGGTGAGAGGAGAGGTTGTAAGAGGAAGAGGTATGCCTTAAGCTTACCCAAAAGATGAGGCTGATCAGCAGCAACACAGTCTTGGAAGCAATCACTCCAAAGTCCATCTTCCCCTTTATTACAGAAAAAAAAAAGAAATCAGAAAGTAGCTAGTTTTTTTTTTCTTGACCTCAAAATAATTGGACCAAGTTAGAACAGCTCTGTGTTCACTCCGGGGCTCTCCCACATCTGAGTCTCTTAGCTGAGGTTTCCCAGTTATTAATTATCACATGATCCACTCCTCCCCACTCTCAGTCACATGCTCTTTTGCGTGCATCCATCGCACAAAACAACTTCTTACTGTAGTGGCATAATGCTGCTCATAGCTCATCCTTGTTGTGAAAAAAAAATGGACTACCGTAAACTTTCTAAACTAGTTGCACGAATGAAGTGCCAAATAGCACCTAATAGTAGATCCCGTGTGATATCCAATTTTTTTCCAAGGAATGAAATCTAACATAGAAGAGGAGGAAATGGCACCTTCCATAGGGCCTTGCCAGGGGCTGTCACCAGGCTTTATAAGGCAGTGCCAAAAACAAATCACATTCTTGTCCCTCTGTAGTAAGAGAAAGGCTTCCTTTTAAGGCAAGCTTTTAAATAGTAAAAAAATTGGATTTTTAGGAATATAGTACCTATTTATAGCTGAGGTTTTAAAATGTTTTCAAAATATTTTGAAGTTGCTTTCATAGTGGTTTTTAATATATCTTTAATTACTTTTAGTCTGGTTTTTAATGGTGTTTTTAATGGTAATTATTGTGCCTGCCATTCCACTTTGGGCAGAATTCAAAGTGTTGTTTTTACCTACAGACCCCTAAATAGTTTGGGTCCAAGCTATCTCAGGAAAGTGATGGCAAACCTAGACAACATCTTAAAAAGCAGAGACATCACCTTGCCGACAAAGTTCCGCATAGTCAAAACTATGGTTTTTCCAGTAGCAATGTATGGAAGTGAGAGCTGGATCATAAAGAAGGCTGAACACCGAAGAATTGATGCTTTTGAATTGTGGTGCTGGATGAGACTCTTGAGAGTCCCCTGGACTGCAAGGAGAACAAACCTATCCGTTCTGAAGGAAATCAAGCCTGAGTGCTCACTGGAAGGACAGATCCTGAAAGCTGAGGCTCCAATACTTTGGCCATCTCATGGGAAGAGAAGATTCACTGGAAAAGACCCAGATGTTGGGAAAGTCTGAAGGCAAGAGGAGAAGGGGACGACCGAGGATGAGAGGGATGGCCAGGGTCATCGAAGCGACCAACATGAATTCGACCCAACTCCGGGAGGCAGTGGAAGACAGGAGGGCCAGGCGTGCTTTGGTCCATGGGGTCACAAAGAGTTGGACGTGACTTAATGCTTAAACAACAACAACAAGCTGTCTCAAGGACTGCGCTCCCATTCTCCTCAATCAGGCTTTCCCAGAATGACTGGCTCTCTGAAAGGGATTTTTAAATATAATATTGTGCTTTGTTGTTTTGAATCTGTCTTTGGTGTTGATTTTGTTTACCATTTTCAGTCGAGTCCTTGTTTGACTCTTTTAAATATTTGTATACTTCATTTCGAAATATTGTCTTTTAATGATGTAATCTGCCTTGGGTCCTTTTTAAGGAGAAAAATCAGGATTAAAAAGTATTTTAAATAAACAAATAAAGTATTGTGTAAGTTTGATCGATTATGAGATGCCTTGAGTCTTATGGGGGAAGGAAGGCACCATATAAATAAATAATGACTAGAAGACATCAACGTTATCAGACAATTTCAGGTGATAATAACAGTTACCATATGGGGATGGGGCATAATTATTTCTTCAGCTTATCTGGCTGCTACCAGACACAAACGTTAAGCCAAGGCTAAGAATCAGCAACTGGAACTGAGCCATCAAGATCCTTCCCCAATTAGAAATTAACTCTGGAAAAAAAAGGATCCCATCCCTTGCTTTCTTCATGTAATTGCATCCTTCTCTATTCTGCATCAGCAGAATTGTTTTCTTCATATTACAACACTTCTCTTAGGTACAACTCCATTATTTCTCTATGGAAAAACAAATTTCCCAGACCTATCCCTAGTATTGTCTCTCTGGTTAAAAAAAGTCTGGCACATAGTGGTTGAAGGTGGTACTTCAGGTTACCACCAGACATTCACTAATCAATCCATTTTTTAAAAAAAAAGAATGGTGTGAATATCTTTGGCCTGCAGAACGGAAGACTGAGGAAAACGAGGACGCGCGAGTAAACTGTTCAAAACATTCAAAAGTATTATGCAGAGAAGCCAATTTTATTCTCCTTCTCCAGAAGGCAGGTTTAGATCTGAAAAGATTAAATTGCAAATGTGTTTTTTTCTTTGTGATAGGGGAGAATTTGTAAATGGAACTAGTTTACAACATAAGGAGTGGTCTTGCCTTCGCTCTCATCAGGCAGAGACTAGGTGGATGTTTGGGGATCCCCAGCTAGCGTGGTCACTGACCACACTGGAGGGGAGAAGGCGAATGGCTGTGATCCAAAAAAGTAACTTTTCCAAGCTCTATAAATCTGGATTTTCTGAAGGGAGTAGGTTGGTTGGCTTGTTTCCCCCACTTTCCCACACACCCAACCAGCAAACATCCTGCTCTCTTTTACACCTCTATCCATGCACTCTTATGCATGTCTACTCAGAAGTAAATTTCACTGGGTTTAGTGGGTAATTCCAAGGCCAGAATATACAGCAGGCCAAGAGAAACTGGTCCAACCAAATCTTGATGGATTACTGCTCCCGACATTCCTCGTCATTAGCCAAGCTGTAGGAGGTTTAATGGGAGATGCAATTTAACAACATCTGGACAAGTTCTTCACTATGGTGTGTAGCACCGCCGTTTGAGAACTGTAGTTCAAAAGTATTCGCAAAGCACAGAGCACAGAGTGCTGTCCTCTGAAGATGCCGGCCACAGAGACTGGCGAAACATTAGGTAGAGCAACCTTCAGAACACGGTTCAAAAGCTTGCAAAGGATGCTGAAAGCTGCTCGTAGGAGAAGTACCCAGAGGTATACCTTTGATTAGGGTAAGTGTGTAAATGAGGTTGAAGCAAGGAGAGTGGCCCTCCAGATGGTTTTGGCCTCTAACTTTCATCACCACAGCCAAGGGTGTAGTAGACTATAGTGGTATATAGAATATTGGACAGTAGAGGCAAGAGGTTATGGGCTTTGCAGTCCAAACTGCAGGACACAATTGCCCAACCCTGGTGCAAAGTCAAAAAGAAAGAGAAAGTAAGAATTATGTCTATCTCACAACTTAGGGCTACATCATATTTTTGTGGGTAGATCTCATGACATAATGGTTGGAAACCTGTTGCACGGTGAAGCAAACAGTGTAACATTTGGAAGGGAATTGCTGTAAATCCAAAACTTACACTGTTTGAGCAACTGTGCAACAGGATTTCAGTTACAGTACTCTGGAATCCTTTAAGCCAGGGGTGGGTCCCCATGTTGGACTACAACTCACAGAAATCCTGGCCAGCAGATCTATTGGTGAAGGCTTCTGGGAGTTTTGGTCCAATAACGTCTGGGGTCCCAAGTTTGGGAACTACTGCTTTAAGTGAAATCATTTTAAGAAATGATTTATGGAAGAAGCACTAGAATGTGTTTATAACCTAATAAACGTCGCTAGAGGGCAGTAATGCTCCATATACAGTAGTAGAATTCATGAATCATATTACAGTACTATAAATTTCTAAAGGAAGGGGGCGGAGAAATGATAACCAATGGAACATGAGGATGAAAAACAAAATAGGATGTCTTATAATTATTTCACTGTAAGAAATTGTATCTTGATATCGACCTGCAGAAAACCCTGATTTCCAGAGGTGTAACCATGTTAATATGTTACAGGAAACGTAACAAATAAAGGTAGCTTGCATGTATTATTACCATTTTCCTTCCCAGGGGTGGCTAAGAAAAATCAGATACAAACCCTAATTTTAAAAAAAATCTGAATTAAATGGACAGATTAAAAATCACCATAAAAATAATATAAATCTGGTTTTCGAAGAAATAAAAATATCAAAAAGTCCAGAATGTTGAATATAGTAGACATGGTCTAGAGGGGCGGAGTAAAAATCCAATAAATAAATAAATAAATAAATAAATAAATAAATAAATATAGTTTTGCTTGGTGCCAAAAAAAAGGATAAATCAGAAAAGACCTCGTTACTTTTGTCACCAACGTTGCCTCAGAGAGAGAGAGAGGTTCTCCAAAGAAATTGCTCAGCAGCGAGCCTGTTCAGTGGGGAATGAGGCTCATGGAGGTCAACAGGGCTTCCTTCTGAGTAGACATACAGGAGTTGCATTGAAAAGCGCAAGAGACTAAATATTTCTTTTCCTCCCCTTGAAATCCGTACCTTCTCCTACATGCATTGCCATGTTATTATTAACAGTGATCTTTAAGGAAATCATTGCCAAGCGACTAAGACATGCAAAAACAGCCACACGGGTTGATTTGAAGACTATCTACAGAAAAACTTTCGCCGGCTTGTGACGCAACCTTCCTCACCCAATCCCATTCATTCGCCTTTCACTCATTCATTCATTCATTCCTTTTTCTTGCTGCCCTAAGAGCGCATGCGCCGCAGGGCCTCTCAAGGAGGCGGGGCGTCCCTTCGTCGCCCCGCCTCTCGGGTCGCCACGGCAACAGGCAGCGCGTCCCGCTTCGGATTCCCGGGCCTTCCCGGCCAAGGAGGGCGGCGGGAGGACGACGGAGTGGAGCCGAATGGCGCGGGAGGTGAAGGGACCCAAGCCGTTCTCGATCGCCTTCGTGAGTGTCTGGAAGCTGGGGAGAAGTCGCGTGGGTGGGTGGGTGGCGAAGGGGTGGTAGAGTCGTCCCTTTGTTTTGTTTCAAGGCACAAGGAGCTAGTCCTCAAGAGCTCCCCGTGGTCAGCCACGCCCTTTCCTCACCAGGAAGTCGCCTTGTCCTGAAACAGACCTACTCCTGGTACCTAAAAGGAGGATTGCCGCCTATGGGCTGGATCCAGACTATTTGTTTGTTTGTTTGTTTGTTTGTTTGTTTGTTGTTTATTTATTAAATTTATATCCCGCCCCTCTAGATCATGTCTACTCAGGGCGGCTTAAAGTGTGCACAGGGTTGCCTTCAGGCTACAACTCTGCCTTACAACTTGAGGGGGGCTCTGCTCCCTGGGGAATTGTGGCAGATGTAACTCGGTGGTTTTGTGTGGGGGAGCCAGAGGCTGGGAGTTCGATTCCCCACCGTGCCTGCCAGGAGGAAAGCCAGCCTGTGGCGGCCTTGGGCAAGCAGCAGAGTCCCAGGGCGCCCCCCAAAAGAAGAGTAAAATAAATTCCTTCTGAGTATTCTCTGCCTGGAAAACCCTGGAAAAGGTCGCTATGTCGGAATTGACTTGACGACACACAATCATGATTAGTCCAAAGTCCCAAATCTGTACCCCTCTAATCAAAAGTTGTATTCTGTCTATGATTAAGAACCCAGCCCAGTGTCTTTGACGTTGTTGTGGGTGATCTTGACCTTGGTCTCCAGCGACACTTGATGATATTTTCTAATTCTTTCCTTGCTGCCTTTTGGAGTTTCAGTCTTTTTCAGATTTCTTGACTGCAGTCTCCATTTGGATTGATGGTTGAACCAAGGTATACAAAATCTTTACCAATTTCAGTTTCTTCGTGGTCTGTATGGAGATTGTGTAGCTCTTCTGCACACAATGTTTGTCTTCTTTAGGTTCAGCTGCACTCCTGCTTTGTCACTTAGACTGATCTTTTTTTTCCTGAAATAATTTGGAGCACTCCAAGAGCCAGTATATATTTGCAATACAGTCTTGAGTGCCTTCTTCCATTTTGGAATCCAGCTTGAATATCCTATAGTTACTGCACTCCTTGGCCTCTCCTTTCTTGGTGACTGGAATGTATATTGAATATTTCTAGTGTTTCGGCCGTTACCTAGTGTTACATACAGCACTGATGTTACCTGTCTGTCATGGGTTGGAGGGAAAGTTCCATCCTATGGGGAGTGGAAGGCGGGACATCAGGAGGAGGGGCTGTACTGTATATATATGTGGAGTTTGTGAGGAGAGCTGGAGGAGAGCTGAGAGATGGTGACTGGAATGTATATTGAATATTTCTAGTGTTTCGGCCGTTACCTAGTGTTACATACAGCACTGATGTTACCTGTCTGTCATGGGTTGGAGGGAAAGTTCCATCCTATGGGGAGTGGAAGGCGGGACATCAGGAGGAGGGGCTGTACTGTATATATATGTGGAGTTTGTGAGGAGAGCTGGAGGAGAGCTGAGAGAAGAAGCTGGTGTGGGAGTCTGTGTGTCAGACAGGGTACTACTGTGTGTCAGTCAGTACCAACCTGATAGGTTCAGGTGTCTGTTGGTTAGCCAGAACTGATAGGTTCAGGGTCTGTGCTTTATTTAAAGGTGTTCTGTGTGAACCAAACTGGTGTATGTATGATTGAGACTAAGCCACGTTACTGTATCTTATTCACTTGATCATTTTATTTTCCCTGTGTGTTCTTTAAATAAACCTTATTCCTTTGTTTGTTAAAAATCCATCCCTGGTCTGTGTGACTCCTTACAGGGAATGGTTGGTGGCAGCTTAGTGAAACTGTGGCATATGCCAGTAGGTCTGGGTTTGCCACACCCAGTAACTGTCCTCCAGAAGTTTCTTCATGCCCACCACCCTTGGAGCTTTCCATTCTCTTCTACTGATGCAACCGGCGTTATTCCTGAAGAGGGTGGAGGCATCTTTGTCTGGTGCTTCAGCTGTGAACCTTGGGTGTCCCTGCTAGTAGTCAAGTCTCAAAATGGAGTCTAGCCATCCAGTGGCATTGCTCTTGGTTGCTCTGACACACACACAAACGCACCGCCCACCCCATCATGTGAAGGAGTGCATCCAAGAAGGGGATCTCTGACATTAGGTGGTTACAATCTTCTGCCCTTTTATTTCCTCGAATAAGTTTTGCTGGCACAGTCAGAATTGTCTTTCCCTGCTTATCCCGTTTCTAACCATGGCCAGCCTCTCAATCCTCTCCTTTAGTCTCTGCTATTTCAGAGGTACTCTGCATTGCCATGAGGGGGTCCCATTTGGCTATTGCTATAATAATAGCCAACAGGGACGTAGTGGTGCTGCGGGTTAAACCGCAGAAGCCTCTGTGCTGCAAGGTCAGAAGACTAGCCGTCGTAAGATCGAATCCATGCGACGGAATGAGCTTCCGTTGTTTGTCCCAGCTCCTGCCAACCTAGCCATTCAAAAGCATGTAAAATGCAAGTTGATAAATAGGTACCACCTTGATGGGAAAGTCACGGCGTTCCGTGTCTAGTCGCGCTGGCCACGTGAACATGGAAATGGTCTACGGACAAAACGCTGGCTCTACGGCTTGGAGATGGGGATGAGCAGCACACCCTAAATGTCAAGGGGAACCTTTACCTTTGTAATAATAGCCATTGATCAATCTCCTATGAATTTGATATCAGTTTTAGCTAAGTGCCATGCATACATTCTCTGCTAATAGGTCCTACCTGGGCAACTTTGTAGGCTGTTTTCTTTGTTGTGTTGTTACCATCCCAAACACCCTGGTGGGTTAGGCTATTACAGTAGTAATAGTTAATCTGTGTTTCTGTGTGACGAAGCAGCAGCTGGGAAGAAGAAGCTGTTGTGGGAGTCTGTGTGTCAGACAGGGTACTTCTGTGTGTCAGAGTACCAACCTGATAGGTTCAGGTGTCTGTTGGTTAGCCAGAACTGATAGGTTCAGGGTCTGTGCTTTAAGTTAAGGGTTCTGGGTGAACCAAACTGTATGCTTGTATGAGTGAGAATTAGCCACGTTACTTTATTTTATTCACCTGATCGTTTTATTTTTCCATGTGTGTATTTAAATAAACCTTATTCTTTTTATTGTTTGAAAATCCATCCCTGGTCTGTGTGACTTCTTATAGGGAATGGTTGTTGGCAGCTTAGTGTAACTGTGTGACATATCCCAGTAGGTCTGGGTTTGTCACACAAGGTATACAAAATCTTTACCAATTTCAGTTTCTTCGTGGTCTGTATGGAGATTGTGTAGCTCTTCTGCACATGATGTTTGTCTTCTTTAGGTTCAGCTGCACTCCTGCTTCGTCACTTTCCTCAGCATAGACTGATCTTTTTTTCTGAAATCATTTGGAGCACTTCAAGAGCCAATATATACAGTATTTGTAATACAGTCTTGAGTGCCTTCTTCCATTTTGGAATCCAGCTTGAATATCCTATAGTTACTGCACTCCTTGGCCTCTCCTTTCTTGGTGACTGGAATGTATATTGAATATTTCCAGTTTTGTCAGCCATTACCCAGTAGCTGTCCTCCAGAGGTTTCTTCATACCCACCACCCTTGGAGCTTTCCATTCTCTTCTACTGATGCAACCGGCGTTATTCCTGAAGAGGGTGGAGGCATCTTTGTCTGGTGCTTCAGCTGTGAACCTTGGGTGTCCCTGCTAGTAGTCAAGTCTCAAAATGGAGTCTAGCCATCCAGTGGCATTGCTCTTGGTTGCTCTGACACACACACACCCCGCCCACCCCATTATGTGAAGGAGTGCATCCAAGAAGGGGATCTCTGACATTAGGTGGTTACAATCTTGTGCCCTTTTATTTCCTCAAGTAAGTTTTGCTGGCACAGTCAGAATTGTCTTTCCCTGCTTATCCCGTTTCTAACCATGGCCAGCCTCTCAATCCTCTCCTTTAGTCTCTGCTTTTTCAGAGGTACTCTGCATTGCCATGAGGGGGTCCCATTAGGCTATTGCTATAATAATCACCAACAGGGACGTGGTGCTGCTGCGGGTTAAACCGCAGAAGCCTCTGTGCTGCAAGGTCAGAAGACCAGCCGTCGTAAGATGGAATCCACGCGACGGAATGAGCTCCTGTTGTTTGTCCCAGCTCCTGCCAACCTAGCCATTCAAAAGCATGTAAAAATGCAAGTTGATAAATAGGTACCACCTTGATGGGAAGGTCACGGCGTTCCGTGTCTAGTCGCGCTGGCCACGTGACCATGGAAACGGTCTATGGACAAAACACTGGCTCTGTGGCTTGGAGATGGGGATGAGCACCACACCCGAAAGGTCAAGGGGAACCTTTACCTTGGTAATAATAGCCATTGATTGATCTTCTATGAATTTGATATCAGTTTTAGCTAGGTGCCATGCATACATTCTCTACTAGTAGGTCTTAGCTGGGCAACTTTGTAGGGTGTTTTCTTTGTTGTGTTGTTACCATCCCAAACACCCTGATGGGGTAGGCTATTACAGTAGTAATAGTTAATCTGCGTTTCTGTGGTCCTTTATAAATGGATTTGCATAATAAACAGCACAGACCTAGGGTATGTGTGAATGATAGTTTGTCCTGCAATTTTTCGCAAGTATAACGTTTGCAAACATGCCTTTTTATTGACTTATTGGCAGAGAGTTGGACTTCATTAGCTTTTTGGTCTTTTGCAGTTCTGTGATTCCCAGCAAGCCAAATCTGTGGACAATATTGCAGTGCATATTGCTGTTGTTTTCTCTTTTCCTATAGAATAAAAGCATACATTCAACTTCCTGTATAGATCGCCAGAAGATAATCTGAGTGTTTTGTTTTTCAATCAGCATGGGTTTGTTAAATGCTGTAAATTTCTGGAGTTTCCCCCTTCCCCCATTGGCCTGTCTTCCTTTGAAAACAATGCTTGATGAAAAAAATCTAAATCCTGTTCATATGACTAAAGGCATGCTTCCTCTTACAGAGGGCCACATTTCCCAAACCAAATGTCGCTGCAAAGCAACTTATATCCTGGAGAAATGAAGAACAAAAGCGCCATGAAGCTGCAATGTATGCCAAGGCCCATCTCCTCGGCCGTCAGATCAATGAAAGGGAAGAGCTGGATGAACGCAGACAGCTGGATCGGCTTGTCCAGAAGAGGGTTGATGCTGAAATGCAGGCCTATTTAGCAGGAGAAGAAGAGAGGAGGGAGAGGTAACATAAACTGCCTCAACAAGCTGGTGACTCTGCACATGAAGACAGACTTTGCTTTTAAAGTACAGTAGGACTCCCATATCTGCAGGGGATCACTTCCAGCCCGCCCAGGGATGCTAAAAAATGCAGATTATCGTGAACATGATTCATTGCATGGTCTCTGGCTTCCTTTAGTGGCCAGTTGTCATAATGAGATATTTAAAAATATATATTTTTATGATTTATCTTTTAATATTTTTAATATGTTCAAGCTGTGGATAAGTGAATCAGCGGATACTGATCCCACAGATAAGGAGGTCCTAATGTACTTTTAATATGGTGATTGTGTACTTTTGGTTCTGCAGATGTTGGTGAACTCCAAGTCCCAGCAGCTCCAGCCCCCCTAGCAAGTGGTGAGGGATGTATAGCAAGGTAAAGATTTGGATAAAAAGAGAACATCATTTTTGCTTCACTGTATCACAGTTTGCAAAATAAAAAATAATTAATTTTGTTTTATTTTGGTATATTAAATTTTCTGGGACAAAATCAAATATCTCAACAAGAATTGATAGATTTATTCAGACTATTTTTGTCCCAGTTGTGTGTTTTTTTAACAGATAGAATGATTCTACTGGAAATCAGTTTCCTCAGGAGAGTAGTGTGTGTGAGGGACTCAAACGCCCCAACGTAAGACAGGAAAGTTAGATGTTCTATCCAGTTACTGATCAGTAAGAAGAAGTCTGTAGGATGGATAGGAAGGTCTTGAGATCTGCCAAATTTGCCCATGCCTGATATAATCAGTACTGCATTATTAGGCCAAATAGCCTGGTCACATTACGACGTTAATTTGTTCCAGCGAAATCGCTGTAGAATGAAAACGTCGTAATGCGAAAATAAAAAACCCATTAAAACCCATTTAATGCATTCCAGTGGGCTAAAAACTCACCATCCAGCGAAGATCCTCCATAGGGCGGCCATTTTCGGTGGCTGTCTTGCGAGGAATCCATCCCAGAAAACAGCGGGGAGCCATTTTATTTACCCCGCGGCCATTTTGAAACCACCGATCAGCTGTAGGAAAATCATCGTTTTGCGAAATTATCATTTGCAAAGAATTGGTTCCCGAAGCAGGGAACCGATCATCGCAAAGCGAAAAAAGCCTATTCAGACCATCGTTTTGCAATCGCAAAAATGTCATCATAATGCGGTTTCGTCGTAATGCGGGGCAAACGTAAAGCGGGGCACGACTGTATTGCATTATTAGGCCAAATAGCCTGACCTCTTATAAATGATCTCCTTAGAAGGCAAGGAAGCATGCATGTACCTGTATGTGAAGTAGAGGATGAGGAGAGAGAATGTACGTATGGTATAGTAGTGTATTGGCCAAGTTCAAGACCCAACTTCAAGATGCAACTTTAAATTCTGACTAAGCTGTGGGCAACTAACGTACCTGGCAGTTTATTGTAAGGACGAAGCAGTTTATTGTAAGGACGATACTGCCCCCCAAACTTCTTGGAGAATTGAAAAAGTGTAATTGAAGTAAATAAACATCTGGTTATGCAAACGGATTCACAGAAAAAAAAGGGACCTGAAGGTTCATTTGGAGTGAACTAGCAAACCAGCTGTTAGCTTCCATTTTCCTCACTGGCAAACCTGTCCTGAATCCGTGGCCCATGACAGATCTTGAAGGCTATAACCTCAGACTGCAAAATGGTTGCTAGAATCTCTTATAGAAAAGGCTTTTCTTTCTCTGGCGGCAGCAGAAATTTTGGCTCCTAGCAGCAGACATTGGAGGAAACGAAAGGTGTTTGCAAGCCAACTCCGGTCCTCCGATATTCTGTGACTAGCTAGTGAAGTTTACAGGTGCATTCTGCATTGCCGGTTCAGTTTTTAGTCATAGACACTCCTTTCCTCCAGTTTTTAATGCCTTTATTTTTTCTGTGAATGCACACAAAGAATCCTGAATTTCTGAATGCTACAGTTCACATTAAAAAATTGTCCAATGTGATTTGTCTCCCCCACACATACACACACACACAATCTTCCCAGGCTCCGGGATCTTTTGGAAGCTGAGGAAAAAGCCTACCTTGCTGAAATAGAATTGCAGGAAGAAACCATGGAGGATAGGCGAAAGGAAATGAGATTGCGAGCGAAACAGCTGAGAGACAAAAGGGAAGAAGCCAGAAGGAAGGTGGTGGCAGAAAAAAAGGAACAGCAATTCAGGTAGTAGTCAGAATTCCATCCTTCCTTGGTTTTAGGAGACAACACATGGCTGTTTTTGCATGCCTTTCACAGCCTTGCGCCCAAATTAATTAATTAATTTTATGTTCTAATTAATTTCTATCTTGTACCCATGAACTTCTCTCTGCCAGATGCCTATCATTCTTGTAATGTTATTGTCTTTTTAAAAGTTACTGCATTGTGTATGATGCTTTATCTATATTTCCGTTGGTGTTTTTATTATTATGTTGTGTTATTTCATTTTGTTCTTTTCGCCACCCAGACTAGTGGCTCTAGCACTAGTTGGCCTGGATAAAAATGGGAATGAATGAATGAGCGAATGAATGAATAAGTGAATGAATGAATGAATGAATGAATGAATTAATTAATTAATTAATTAATTAATGAGCGAATGAATATGGGAATGAATGAATGAGCGAATGAATGAATGAGCGAATGAATGAATGAATGAATGAATGAATGAATGAATGAATGAATGAATGAATGAATGAATGAGCAAAGACACTCCTGCCAGGACCTGAGGAATGGAGAATATTAGAGGCCATGGATTTTTTATCTTGAGAGTGGTAAGCAATGAAAGCCCTTGCACAGATACATGAAAGGGAGGCAGGATCAAGCCCACATGTGTGTAGATATATATGCACAGGACTCTTGATCATCAGTGGCCAGCGCATGGTTCCTTGGCAGCATGTTCACTGGCATTCATTCAGTCGTGAACCTGCTGTGCTGCTCCTGTGATTACTGAAGGCGATGAGGTTGAGCTAGAGCCCCTAACCACGCAGAGATCGCATGAGTAGCCTTCTCCATCTTGGGCCCTGAAGGTATTTGAGTTCTGCTTTGTACTTTAGGGATGGGCAGCTTTTTACCCCACTACCCATCATTGCCAAAGGAAAGCAGTTGTAATAGTTGAAATCCAAAGTGTACAGAAGGCAAGCAAGCCCTCTCCCCTGGAGTGTAGTCCCATCCTACTCTTTGGTCCTGAAGAGAGATAGCATGCTGAAAAGTGCATGCAATAATTTCTGCTGCTGTTTACAAGGTTTATTACAGCAAGAGGAGAGGAGAAATTGTACTATGACTCTTTTAAATATTTCTCATGTGCATCTTTGCTCTTTGCGGACTGCAGAAATTTTCATGTATCATATCACCATTCTTCCCTTTGGGAACATTGCTTACATATATTAGATAAAATTAGAATGCCTCCAGAAGGGGCATACAGGTGTGCCATCCTGGTATAACATTTATCACTTTTTGCAGAGGATATTATAATCATGACTCTTCTGTGTTTTCATAAAATGCATAAATTCTGGCAGGGGGCACAAATTTGGCTTCTGATTTCTGGAAGCAGCATTAAAATGATCAGACTCTTTGTATCAAAGTAGCTTTTGGACAGCAAAGTGAGACTTTCAGACTGTCATCTGGGGGAGCGGATATTTGCTGCCGACTGTAAAAACTCCTTTGAAGAATGTAGATAGTATCAGTCCTTTGCA